CGCCAAAGCCATAGCTGCACAGGAGTTAAGCTGGCTCACCTACGTGCTGACCGACTTGGGAGAGGCGCCTCGTTCCCCTCCAGTTCTATACTCCAGTTCCCCTACTACTACTACTACTACTACTACTACTACTACTACTACTACTACTACTACTACTACTACTACTACTACTACTACTACTACTACTACTACTACTACTACTACTACTTCTACTACTACTACTACTACTACTACTACTACTACTACTACTACTACTACTACTACTACTACTACTACTACTACTACTATTACTACTACTACTACTACTAGTGCTATTACTACTACTACTACTAGTACTACTACTATTACTACTACTACTACTTCTACTACTACTACTCCTACTACTACTACTACAACAACTACTACTACTACTACTACTACTACTACTACTACTACTACTACTACTACTACTACTACTACTACTACTACTACTACTACTACTACTACTACTACGACAACTACTATTACTACTACTCCTACTACTAGTATTACTAGTGCTACTACTACTACTACTACTACTACTACTACTACTACTACTACTACTACTACTACTACTACTACTACTACTACTACTACTACTACTACTACGACAACTACTATTACTACTACTACTACTCCTACTACTAGTATTACTAGTGCTACTACTACTACTACTACTACTACTACTACTACTACTACTACTACTACTACTACTACTACTACTACTACTACTACTACTACTACTACTACTACTACTATTACTACTACTACTACTACTACTACTACTACTACTAGTACTACTACTACTACTACTACTACTACTACTACTACTACTACTACTTCTACTACTACTACTCCTACTACTACTACTACAACAACTACTACTACTAGTACTACTACTACTACTACTACTACTACTACTACTACTACTACTACTACTACTACTACTACTACTACTACTACTACTACTACTACTACTACTACTACGACAACTACTATTACTACTACTACTACTCCTACTACTTGTATTACTAGTGCTACTACTACTACTACTACTACTACTACTACTACTACTACTACTACTACTACTACTACTACTACTACTACTACTACTACTACCCCTACTACTACTACTACTACTACTACTACTACTACTACTACTACTACTACTACTACTACTACTACTACTACTACTACTACTACTACCACCACCACCACCACCACCACTACTACTACTACTACTAGTTCTACTACTACTACTACTACTACTACTACTACTACTACTACTACTACTACTACTACTACTACTACTACTACTACTTCTACTACTACTACTACTACTACTATTATTATTACTACTACTATTACTACTACTACAAACAAGCGTCACATGCAGCGTAGTTTGGCGAAGGAGGTCAAACGAGTTCTCATGGCAAGGGAATAGGATGTAATACCTGAATGTGTGAAGAAATAGTGCTAAAAATAACATCCAAATGCTGAAACGATGACATGTTGCGCACAGGCCTATCCTTGCACACATTCAGGCCAGCAAACGCACAAACAAGCATCACGTGCAGTGTAGTTGGGCGAACGAGCCCAAACCAAATTCCGTGGCAAGGGAATAGGACATACTACATGTGTGAATATACAGTGCTAAAAGCAACATCCAAACGTTGAAAAGATGACATGTTGTGCACAGGCCTATCCTTGCACACATTCAGGCCAGCAAACGCACACACAAGCGTCGCGTGCTGTGTATTTGGGATGACGTACTACCTGGATGTGTGAAGAAATAGTGCTAAAAAAAACATCCAAGCATTGAAACGGTAACATGTTACGCACTAGCCTATCCTTGCATAGTTTCAGACCATCGAATGCCTAAACAAGTGTCACGATACGTGGTGCCGTTTTGACGTCCGGTTATTCATTTTTTGTACGAGATTATGCGATTTTGATTTGCAGTCGCAAGAATGCCTTAATATATCGTACACAAACCTCTCCGTAACTTATGGTATAGGAAATGGTGTATCCTAAACTCTCTGAGGGATCGCTTATTATTGAGTACGGTAGCCGCAACTTGGAAATGTAATGTGACACCTTATCTCTATTCACTCAAACTGAATGTAAACCACCAATGCATTTTGTGCTCTAGTTGTGGTTACTACTTTTTATAACAATGCATATGTGTTACGAGTGCAATTGAGTGAGCGAGCGAGAATTGCACTATCGAAGCAAGAGTTCTTTGAGCGAAGGCATGAGCGAAGAATATATAGCGAAACTACAGTGGTAACGGTAATGGACTGTGGTTGTCGCGCGACGTGCCTGGGACTAAGGTTTGGGGAAATGTCGAAGCGGAGGCCCGGAGCGCGGGGTACCCGCCGAGCCGTGAGGTCTGGGTGCAACGTGCTAAAGTGGCGGGAGAATTGTCGATGCGAGGGTTGCGAATGGTAACGGTGCTGACTGTGGTGCTATAGTGGTGTACGCGCTGAGCGGGGACGGGAAGTAAGGGAAAGGAATTTTCCTTACACTACCCCCACCCCCCCTAAGGAGGTCTTCCTTACGAAAGCGCGTGTACATCTCTGAAGTTTTGGCTGTGCAGATACTCGGTGAGGAGAGGGTGGTTTTTGACTCTGTCCAGGGGAACCCAGTTGTCTTCGGTGGGTGTACGGTCTTTCCAGCGGATCAGGAACTCGATCCTTCGGGCTCCTCGAGGGTCACGAACTCTGTGGCTCAGAATTTTCTCAGGTGTGATGATTGGTTCAGTCGGTGGTCGTGTCATGCTGGCTGGGCAATTACGTGGCAGTTGGCTTGTGGACGGTATGTAGGGGCGAAGTAAGCTGACGTGGAAGGATGGGCTGACATACCAGTCAGCGGGGAGGAGGAGATGGGCGGTGATGGGCGTAATCATGTGGCTAATGCGGAATGGTCCACAGTATTGGGGGCGAAGTTTTGGGGTGATGGGCAGGCGGAGGTTCTGGGTGTCAAGTAAAACTAGGTCGGCGGGCTGGTAAGTGATGGCGGTGGCGGTCGGCGTTACGTTTAGCGATGATGTTCGATTTTTTTATTGTGTCTGCTGCCCGGGTCCGTGCTTCTTGTAAAATTTCGGCGAACTATTGTGCTCATAGCACCGGGTTGTCAGGATTCGGGGTCATGGGTACTGTTGGGTCCTGTCTGTAGTTCAGGTAAAACGGCGACTGCTGGGTCATGGCAGAGGGTGAGTTATTGTACGCGAATTCAATGAGTGGCAATTGATGTTCCCAAGTGGTTGGGTCGTCGCACGTGGCTCGAATGAGTTGTTCCATCGTATGATTTGTCCTCTCTGTCTGTACGTTGGTCTTGGGGTGGTATGAAGAACGGAACTGTAGTCGCATACTGAATTGTTGCCACAGGTTCCGCCAGATTCTGCTTGTGAATTTCGTATCTCGGTCGCTGATGATCACCGCTGGTATCCCGTGCAGCCGAACGACGGTGGAGATGAAGAGACGTGTTGTTACTTCGGCTGTGATTGATTTTTTGCATGCTGCGAAGTGTGCCATTTTCGTCAGTCGATCGACGACGACCAGGATCGTGTCGTTCCCACTTGGCCCGGCCGGTAAACCCGTGACAAAATCCATCGTCACCTACAGCCGAGCACGCTCTGGGGGTGGTATCGGCTACAACTCTCCTGCCGGCCGCTTCCGTGATGATTTCATGAGCTGGCAAGTGGGACACGATGCCACGTGTCGTTGTACGTCGGTCAACATCTCGGGCCAGTAATAGTACCGCTGCAGCTGCTGCCGTGTTTTCTCTACCCCGAAATGCCCTGAGGTAACTCCGCCGTGTGCCTCCTATAACAGTAACTCCTGTAGCAATTGTGTATCCTGGTACCCAGATGCGGTCGGTCCCGGCTTTTACATAATAGACTCCCTTTGCTGCTGCAAACTGCTGCGAATTTTCTCCTGTGAAGAATGGGTCCGTTTGGTACCCGTGGGTGAATAGGCCTGTCAATAGTGGATTTGTCTGGGCGAGTAGTATTGCGTGAATCTGGGCAGCGGGGCGAGTCAGGGCGTCAGTGATGTTCGATGCCCCCTTTTTGTAGGTGACTGTGTAGTGGAAATTTGACTCGAGGAAATCGAGCCAGCGGATCTGTCGTGGGTTGAGGTGTGGCTGTGCGAGGAGGTACTGTAGTGATTTATGGTCTGTCCGTACTGTCACGTCTGCGCCGGTCAAGTAACAGCGCCATACTTTGAACGCGTGCACGATCGCAAGCATTTTGCGGCCGTGTATCGGGTAATTTTTCTCGGGCAGATGCAGTTTGCGTGACTCGTATGCGTGTGAGAAATGAGGAATGATTGCATTGAGCAGCATGAGGAGTACTAGGAAACCCTAAAGTGCTGTACACCATATAGACTACCCCACTACAGCCTAAACAAACTACAGCATATAAGTTCGACACACCCCCATATGCAAAGTGGGGGAGAACAAGGGGTCACAAGACCAGTCAAGAGAAACAAGGCAAGCCCAGGGTGGATCACAACGTCACCACACAATCTGAGCACAAGCACAAGGCCACAAGGCCAGTTCACATGCAGAGTTATATACCAAGATGAACAAACAGAGCAGTGATCTCAATCTAGCAAAGGTAAGCATGCAACTGCAGGTATATATAGATCACAGTACAAGCAAAGTCAAGAAGTGAGCAAGTGAGGTCAAGTAGGCACAAGACCTAGCAAAGTACAAAAGCGCTGATGATCACAAGTCGGAAGTGCCTTGGTAAAGATATCAGCAGTGTTGGCCTCAGAGGCCACGTAAGCAAGGCGCAGCTGACCGCGCTGCTGCAGCTCACGAGCAAGGAATTAGCGAAGAGCAATGTGCTTCGTTCTGTGCTCCAGTCTGTGCTCCCGACACAAGGCCAACATGGCCTTGTTGTCTACGTACAGAACTGGAGGAGAACAAGGCGGCTCTCCTAGGTCAATCAGCAGGTAGGTGAGCCAGCGTAGCTCCTATGCAGCCATGGCCCCTGCGTAGATCTTGGCCTCACGGCTGGAGCCGAGAACAGAAGACGGGCGGGTAGACCGCAACGAGACAGAGCCGGAACCAAGATTGAAGGTGTAACCCTGTGACGACCGCTGCGTAGCCTGGTCGTCAGCCCAAGAAGCGTCTGCGTGACCTGTGAGGACCACCTGGACGTCGCCCTCCAAGCACTAGCCCCATGCCCGACATACTGCACAAGTAGCGCAACACCCTCTTTGCTGTAGCCATGTGCTCTGGTCGGTGTCTCCCAGGAGCCACATAGCATGCCAAGATGCTAAGAGGGTATGCTAGGTCAGGTCGTGTGCAAGTCATCAGGTACATGAGGCACCCAACAAGCTCTGGGTATGGGCCACTCGGCTCTATGGACTCATCCGAAGGCAGAGCTGAGAGCGAGTGGCGAGTAGACAAAGGAGTGGCCTGAGGCGAGGAGTACGTGAAGTCGAAGCGCTGAAGGACCAGCTGCACCATGTGTGACTGAGTCAGGGTAATGGTGCGCTGTGCTCTGTCCCAGGTGATCTGCAAGCCAAGGTAGCTGCGCAGTTCACCCAGGTCTGTGCACGTGTGTCTCTTCTGCAGCTCGGCCTTCACGTAGGCGAGTCCAGCAGTGTCAGCAGTGGCAAAGACCAAGTCATCGACATACACGAGGATGTAGAACGGCGGCAAAGAGGTGTCGGTGCGCAGAAACAGCGACGGGTCGGCTGTAGAAGGAGCAAACCCAAGAGCCGCAAGTGTAGTCCTCAGTGTGTCATGCCACTCACGGGGCGCCTGGCGGAGACCGTAGACTGGCCGCTGGAGGCTCCACCGGGTACCAGGGGGGAACGACCCAGTCAAGCCAGGTGGGCGGCGCAGCCAGATCTCCTCGTGCATGCTGCCGTGCAAGAAAGGTGTGCCAAAGTCAAGAGAGTGAAGCTCGTAGTCGAGCTAAGCGGCTATGTGCAGCAGCACCCGAAGAGTGGTCATCTTCGGGGTAGGGGAGAAGGTCTGAAAGTAGTCAACTCCCTGCCGCTGACTGAAGCCTCGAGCCACGTAACGCGCCTTGAAGACAGGCAGAGAACCCGGCGGCCGCTTCACCCAGAAAATCCACATGGCACTGACGATGTTCGCCCCATATGGGGGAACCTCGTCGACGTAGATGCCTGTGGACTTTCAGGAAGCCATCTCTGCGTCCATGGCTGACTGCCACTGTGAGGAGTAGGGACCCTCGATCGCCTCAGCGTACGATCGAGGAGTCGGGATGTCTGGTGCATCCGGGTCTCCCTCAGGGGCAATCAGCGTGGACACGAGATGAGGCAAAGCAGCAGCAAAACACTGGAACTCCTCCTGCCTGTCCTCAAGGACGTAAATGCTAAGAGCACACTCACCCCCGACGGACGAAGGACAGACAGACTCAGACTCAGCAACAAGACTAGCAGCGTAGTCTAGACAACAACGAGCAGCAAAGTTGACAAGCTCAGCAACTAAGGCAGACGTAGCAGTGGACTCAAAGGAAGGGTTAGTGACAACAGTAGCCAGGAGACGCGTGACAGTAGGACTGGCAGCATGAAGAGAGTCTGACTCCGGGTCAGCAAGAGTAGGAAGAGAGGACTCTGGAGGAGACGGCAACGGGACACGCAGAGGAGCAGTGGAAGGACGCAGTGCCATCTGGTGTGTGCTAGGGACCGCAGGAGGACGCGGATGCGGAGCACGACCACTAGTGCGAGCAGCACGAATAGGCGACGCAGGACGAGACGCAGGCTCACGACGCTCAGCAAGACCTCCTGTAGGACCAGTGTAGGGAGACAGAGCATGCAGGGGGGAGGCGGGCTGTAACTGTTACCGCGACTGGACAGGCTGTGGACACGCTAAGGGAGGAATTGACCAGTAGAGGGTGGGAGACCAAGAACCTGCTCAAGGAGCGGAATGAAGTACGGCCTTGGCCGCGCAGCGCCTCTAGAACCAGTAGGGACAGCACCAGTACCTCCAGCGGTAGCACCAGCACCAGCAGCACCTCCAGCTCCAACAACGCCAACTCCAGCACCCTCAGAAGCACCAGCGCCAGCAAAACCACCAGCGCTAACACCCCAAGCAGCTCCAGCTCCAGCAGCTCCAGCAGCACCAACTCCAGTAGGACCGTCAGCTGAAGTACCGCCAGCAGCTCCCGTAGCTCCAGTAGCACCTCCAGCAGGACTCCCAGTCCCAGCAGCTCCAGAACCGCCAGGACGAGCACCTACCGGACCAGCAGCAACAGTAGTACCTCCAGCTCCAGCAGCACGGCTCCAGTGCCGGGCAAACCACTCGCGCAGCTCCTACGAAGAGAGTAGCTCCCGCCTCGACGAAGCACCGCCAGAGGCCACACAAGTAGACCCAGCACCCCCAGGCTCCGCACCCCCAGGCTCAGCACTCCCACGCTCCGCACCCCCAGGCTCAGCACCCCCAGGCTCCGCACCCCCAGGCTCAGCACCCCTAGGCTCAGCACCCCCAGACTCAGCACCCCCAGGCTCATTACCCCCAGGCTCCGCACCCCCAGAACCGGCACCCGCAGGCACAGCGCCCCTAGCAGCACCAGAGTCAACAGCTACCTCGACAGTCTCAACAGCGTCTACCTGGGACACACCAGACGGAGCAGGACCCTGAGGGGGGAGGGGGTCTACCGGGGGAGGACCTGGCGCAAGGAAGAGCAGCGGCGGGGGGAGGGGCGCAGTGCGGCAGGGGAAGAGACGGTAGTAAGGCACCGACTCGTCAAAGGTGACGTCCTAGGAGGACAGAACACGGCGCAAGGTGGGGTGGTAGAACTGCCAACAAGGCGCGTCAGGGGGGAAGCCAAGGAAGACGTAGGGAACAGCACGGGGGGACAGCTTGTCCGCATACAAGTCGCGGACAAACGCCCGAGATCCCCAGACCCGAAACGCAGACGCATCGCCAACCTTCCCCGTCCACCTCAAGGTGGGGGAGGTCTCTGGTAAGGAGACCCGGGGCTGAAGATTGAGCTGATGCGCCGCGTACTGAACCGCAAACGGCCACAGAAAATGGGGAGCAGCCGCATGGATCATGGACGTACGAGCGACGTCCATGACCATGCCAATGCGGCGCTCAGCAATCCCATTTTGCTGTGGAGAGGCCGCAAGCGTGAAGGTCTAGTGGATGCCCTATGCACGACAGAAGGCTCCCACACGGGCAGAGGAAAGCTCCCCGCCTCTGTCAGAGTGCTGACGCAGAACAGGAAAGTCCGAGCCGAAACTCTCTCTGAGCTGGAGACGAGCTGCAAGGATCCAGTCGATCAACACCTCAGTGACGTCACCCTTGCTGTACAAGGGGAACACCGTGGTGTAACGCGAGTAGTCTTCAACCACCAACAAGAAGTAACGCTCGTGACCCTGGCCACGGACGCGGGCGGGGCCCCACACGTCCATGTGAAGAGGCTGCAGGGGAGCCTATGTCGGAGGAAACTCGGAGGAGTGAGGAGCGGCGCGCTGCCGCCCCTCGACGCAGGGGACGCAGGTAGGGGCCGGCCCCTGAGGTAGGGGAGGGAGGGACAGGGGGAGACTAGAGACAAGGACACGGGAGGCCATGCCTCAGAGACGAGGCACGAAGGGGTGACCAAGGCGGTGGTGCCAAAGGAGAGTCAGGTGGGACAGGAGACGACACGAGCAAGGCGCAAACTCAGGACCAGACCTGGACGCTGCAGCAAATACTTGACTCGACGCAGCTACCTGACCAGACGCAGTAACAAGAGGAGACTCAGTTGTCAGTGTGTACGGGCTCGACCCCGGCTGACGGGTAAACGTGGCCAAGTGTCGGCCCGTTTGAGCACACGTACAGTGGGTCACCCGCTGACGCGCAGGTGTGAACTGGTCAACCCCCCGATCCTGTAGATCAGCTCCACTCACCAAGTTCGTAGAGAACAAGGGGAGGTAGAGACCAGAAAGGGTGCCAGAGGGGGCTGCCGAACACAGTAAGACAGTGGAGAAGCTAGCAAGGACAAGACCTCCAGAGGGGTCCGCCAGGGAGACCGCAACCGGCCGACTAAGTGGCGTAAGCGTGGTGCGGTCTCGAAAGAAGGAGCGGGAAGCACCCGAGTCAAGGGTAAGGGTGTGCAAGGCCTAAGCCGACGTGGTACCTGAGAGAGCAGACTCACCAGCACCTGGGGCAGCAGACGCACTAGCACCTGGAGCAGCAGTCTCACCAGCACCTAGAGCAGCAGCCTCAATGCCCGGGTCAGGCGGAACACACAGGTAACAGTCACCCTCATCGTCAGTAGACACAGCATGCATGGCAGCAAGAATAGCATCATAGTCAAGATCAAAGATAGCTGCCCCAGCCCTAGACAGCTCTCCCCAGCGAGGGATCTCAGTGGCGTCAGGGAACTGATGACGCCAAGCGTCCGTCATGCGGCCGAAGCAGCGCTGGGTGGAGTGCGTGCCCCCGCACTGCTCACCAGCACAGTCGCCTGTACGGAGGACGTAGGTGCAGGGACCAGTACCCCCACCCCGCTGACGCCCAGCGTACCACTCACGAAGCTGCTGAGGGTACAGGGTCTCAAGACCGCGCTGCTACTGCTGGCGCAGACCGCCACCTCCGTCGCCTCCGCCACCTCCGCCGCCTCCGCCACCGCCGCCGCCTCCGCTCCCTCCGCCACCACCGCCGCCTCCTCCGCCTCCACTGCTGCCACCGACACCTCCACCCCCGCCACCACTCCCACCACCACCCCCACCCCCTCCACTGCCTCCACCACCACCTCCACCGCCCCCACTGGCCCCCCCTGCGCCCTTGCCCCCCTTGCCCTTGCCGGTGCGGCACTTCTCGCTAGGGACAGACGCAGCGCCGACCGACTCGAAGCCAACGAGGTCGGCCGCAGCAGCAGGAGCAACAGAGGGCAAGAGGGGGGAGGGAGAACACCCCTCAAAGACAGGGGTGCGAGGGTCACCACGAGAGGCTCCTACAGCGACTATGCTCTTCTCTGCTGCTAGGAGGCGCTCCTCGAGGAGGTCAACGGTGAGTGTGGTGGGGCAAACTAAGAGGAAGTGGTCCCTGACTAAGCGAAGGGAGTCAGGGAGCCGGGTGACTATGTAGTAGAGGGTGATGTACATGGGGGGGGGGTTCTTGGCACAGAATTCAGCAGGATGCGCAGCGCGGTAGCGAGTGTCACTAGTGCGAAGGTGCGTAATGAGGTCAGCGACTGTGGGAAAGGCAGCAAGGTCAGAGAACAGGTACGGCAGCATGAGGCGGCTAAGCGCAGTAGTGGCAGCGGAAGAGTAGCGTGCAACTAGAGCGTCGTACAAGGTCTTAGCACTCTTGTACTGGCTAAATTGCACACGCTCAGTGGTCGGTAAGTGGCGACGCACAGCAAGACGTGCAGCAGCATCGCGCGTGGCCCACTGTGAGCGAACAGTGCTGTCAGCAGTAGCAGGCGGGGCAGGAGAGACACTAGAGGTGAGATCGAACAGAGAGAGTCCGTCTGCCCTATCGCACTGTAAGAACAGCTGGAGGTCATCGACCCAGACCTCAAAGTCAACAGCACGACCCTCAGTATCAAAGGTAAGGACACTGGGGGTAGCCATGTCTGCAGTGGTCTAGCAGGGAGTGAGCTCACCAGTCCAAGGAAGTAGGGCCGGGGCGCGTCGGACATGACAGTGGCGGCTCGACGGCAGGGCGGCTCGGCGGCTCGGCTGCTGGGCGACACGGCGGCTCGGCTGCAGGGCGGCCTGGCGGCTCGGCGGCTCGGCTGCTGGGTGGCTCGGCGGCTCGGCTGCTGGGCGGCTTGGCGGCTGAGCTGTCGGGCGCCTCGGCTGCTGGGCTGCTGGCGGCGTTGAAGGGGCCGGTAGAGACGGCGACGCGGCCGTGAAGAACGGCGACGGGGCCGCTAGGGGCGGCTACGGGGCCGCGAAGGGCGACGACGGGGCCGCAAAGGGTGGCGACGAGGCTGCTAGGGTCGGCGACGGGGTCGGTAGGGCGGCGACGGGGCCGGTAGGGCGGCAACGGGGCCGGTAGGGTCGGCGACGGGGCCGCTTAGGGCGGCCACGGGGCCGGTAGGGCAACGACGGGGCCGGTAGGGTCGGCGACAGGGCCGCTTAGGGCGGCAACGAGGCTGCTAGGGTCGGCGACGGGGCTGGTAGGGCGGCGACGGGGCCGCTAGGGTCGGCGACGGGGCCGGTAGGGTGGCGACGGGGCTGCTAAGGGCGGCGAGGTGGCCGCGAAGGGCGGCGACGGGGCCTCCCGGGGCGGTGACGGGGCCGTTAGGGGCGGCGACCGGGTCGTAGAGGGGCCGGAAGGGGCCTGGAGAGGCGGCGACGGGGCCTAGAGAGGCGGCGACGGGGCCGCGAAGGGGCCGCGAGGGGCCTAGATAGGCGGCGACGGGGCCGCTAAGGGGCCGCGACGGGCCTAGAGGCGCGACGACGGGGCCGTGAGAGGGGCCGCGAGGGGCCGCGAAAGGGGCCGCTAGGGAACTGACGAGGGCGCGACGGGCCGCTAAGGGCTAGGGACGCGACGGGAGGGAGGGCACACGGGGCTCGACTCGGGAAGGAGAGAAGCGCGCCCCGAGAAGAAAAAAATAAATTAGTGGTGGGCCCTTAGGAAGCGTTCCCACTAGGGAACCTGCTCTATACCATGTGAGAAATGAGGAATGATTGCATTGAGCAGCATGAGGAGTACAAGTAGGAAACCCTAAAGTGTTGTACCCCATATAGACTACCCCACTACAGCCTAAACATACTATAGCATATAAGTTCGACAATGCAATGGGCTGTAGGCCGTTGCCAAAGTCCTGTAGCAGTACGGCTCCTAGGGCGATGTCGCTTGCGTCGGTAACTATTTCGAATGGGCGGTGTGGGTCGGCGATGCGCAGGACGGGCGGTGAACAGAGAACATTTTTCAGGGCAGAGAAGGCAGCATGCTCTTTCTCCCCCCACGTAAAAGCGACCCCCTTACGTAACAAGTGCGTCAACGGCGCTGTTAACCTTGCCATGTTAGGGACGAACCGACACACGTAATTGACGAACCCCCAAAAGCTCTGTAGTTCCGTGATATTCGTCGGGGGGTGCCAGGCTTTCACCGTGTCCAACTTCTTTGGGTCAATTTTGACCCTAGCCTCCGAAATAACGTGCCCCAAAAACTCTAGCCTGTCCTTAAAAAACTCGCACTTAGAGCCCTTTGTTAGTAACCGGTTCTCGTCTAAAATTTGAAGGACTGCTTCCAGATCTGCTAAGTGCTGCTGCGTGTCTCGACTGTAGACGAGGATGTCGTGGAGGTAAACTATCACGCATTTATCTAAAAGTGGCCTAAACGCCTCGTTCATGGTCATCTGAAAAGTCGCTGGTGCGTTGGTCAGCCCGAAGGGCATCATGGTGTACTCGAACGACCCGTACCTAGTCCGGAAAGCTGTTTTGGCGCAGTCCGATGGTTTGACTCTAATCTGATGGTAGCCCCCCCTTAAATCTATTTTCGAGAAAACCCGTGCTGTTCGCAATCGGTCGATGTGTTCGTTGGCGCGGGGAATGGGGTACCGCGACTTGACTGTTACCCTGTTGAGCGCTCGGTAATCGATGCACATACGAAACCCTCCGTCTTTTTTTGGCGTTAACAGTATCGGTGCGGCGAACGGTGACGAGATCAGTCGGATGAATTTCTTCTCTAACAAGTAATCTAAATGCTTCCTCAGTTTGTCGAGCTCGGGTTGTGTCAGTCCTCAGTCTGACGCGCGGAGTCACGTTCCGCCGCGAGCGTCGCAATTTTGAGCGCTGATTCTTCGACTTGGCGCACGAGACGGTCGAGTTGCTCCTGCGTCAGTGTCGCGAGAGTAAATTCGGCCATGGCAGCGGGTGTCGGGCAAGCTCAACGAGAGCCTCTGTCGTGGCCGTGCGTGCTTATGAGAGAGCACTACGAGCGGCGGTGCTGTGTCGCTGAGAGACGTCTACCCCCCTAAAACATTGAGATAGTGGGGAAGCGAATGTGTGGGTGCGGTCCGAGAAGAGATCGTAGGCTATGAATACTAAGTGTTACGAGTGCAATTGAGTGAGCGAGCGAGAATTGCACTATCGAAGCAAGAGTTCTTTGAGCGAAGGCATGAGTGAAGAATATATAGCGAAACTACAGTGGTAACGGCAATGGACTGTGGTTGTCACGCGACGTGCCTGTGACTTAGGTTTGGGGAAATATCGAAGCGGAGGCCCGGAGCGCGGGTTACCCGCCGAGCCGTGAGGTCGGGGTGAGACGTGCGAAGGTGGCGGGAAAATTGTCGATGCGAGGGTTGCGAGTGGTAACGGTGCTGACTGTGGTGCTACAGTGGTGTACGCGCTGAGCCGGGACGCGAAGTAAGGGAAAGGAATTTTCCTTACAATATGTATATTTGTTTCCCTGTGGTACAGCGTTGTACATTTTCAATGCAGAAATTGAACATAGTTCTGTAACGCGATGACAAGCAGATAGCGCATCACCAGAACGATGAACAGTTTTCGCGCCATTTCATCACCTCATGCAAATGGTTGCGGAGCAAACGCGACTCGCGCCACAAAAAGCACATTGGCGCCAAGCCAGAATCAGAAAGCTCCCTACCAAAAACGAAGCAACCTTCAGAATGTAGGTTCGGTTTTAACACTTTTTTTTTTTTTTTTTTGCTTAATGAATCATACACTAGAGTGAACAAGTGTACAACGCATAACAGTCGTAACTGTGCAAGGGAGACGAGAGGACTCGCTCCAGGAATATCTGATCCTCAGACATGGATCCGGGGCCTGCGAGGTTTGCCCCAAAGTGCCGCAAAACTGTTGGACCATTTCCATCCTTTGCCATCCACCACCCTGATCCGATCCAGAAGAGTACGTTCCTGTTCAGTCATTTTCTGCCACCTGGCGAGCTGCCCTTTTCCTCGCTGCTGCACCCTCGTGGCCGAGGCACGTATGTAGACATTCACATGCATGCGGAGCGCTGACTCAATCTTCCGCAGAACTCTCCGCGTGCGGAATTTGCAGCCCCTGAAGGCACCTTCACATCTCTCCACCCACAGCTGATGGAGGGCAATCGCTATCAACGACGCCTCCGGGAATGCTGACATGGAACCCGCTTCACCGAATAACCAATCACCGAGCGAGTCCTTTTTCCTGGCAGGGTTGATCATCCTCAAGGCCTTTTTTACCGCTGAAACCACCCCCTGAGTCCTTGGACACTCTAAAAGCAGTGCTCTAACGTCTCAAACCCTCCACAGTGAGGGCAAACCGGTTTGCTGCTGAGGAACTCCAGCCTCTCCCCGACCTGAAGATTAAGGCAGTGGATACGTAGCAAGACATCCCTCGACCGGCTGGGGGTGACCAGCGACTCGCGAATTTGGACTGCCCGTTTCCAATCAATGCTACCCCCCCAACGGCTTGCCCATCTCTCCCGTCTAGTTTTTCCACTGTCCCCAAGCCTCCAGTGCTTCCTGAGTGTCTTTAGTGGAACTGCCCCCCCTTCCGCTAGCAGCTTCATCCGGAGCTGTGAAGGTCCCCCTCTCCCCAGCTCATACTCCTCCGCGAACCCCACGTTCGGAAGCACGTCAGAGAGGAGTTGACTCCTCCATGACGCCGGTGCTGCAGCAAAAGCTTTGAGCGCGAGGTTTGCAGAATCCTTCCCTCTCAGCTCCCTCGTTAGGGTTTCACAGCTTTTCAGCACTCCTCGCCCTGCCGTATCTCTCCCAAGAAGGTCACCCAACCTGATATTATGAAGCTGCTTCACCGCCTTCTGTCCTCCCACCGGTGTGGAGCCGTTCAAGAGGACGTGTCTGTTAAAAGTGATTCTCTCCAGCAACAGCTCCTTCAAATCCCGTTGTTCAGTAGAATCCGCCAGCGGAGAGTGCATGAAGTTCGCGCATGCCAACATCCACCTCTGGCTTTTCCCCTCCCATGTTTTTAGTAGCTTCACATGTGCCGCGAAAGTCTCCAGCCCACGTGGTAGGTCAGCCGCTTGCCGCATCAATGCTCTCTTCAGCTGATCTGTTTCCGTGAGCGTCAACGCTATCCTCCGAGCCGTCAGACAGGTAAGCATCGCTTCTGGGTTCATCGCCCCCACACCTCCTTCCAGAACCGGCGTAAATAGCAGTTCCTTGCTCCAGAGACGGAAACAGTTCTCCGATGAAGCTTTGTTGGCTGACATGAAGTTGTGAGTCATCTTAGTAATGACCCCCCAGGTTTGCGCCGGAGGAGGATAGACCTGCGCCTGCGACCATGCGATCGGCAGTATGTAGCCGTCCATCACCGCCGTCCGAGCCTTAATCGGGAGATATTGCGGCTGCCATAACGACATCTTCGCAACCATCTTCTGCAGCGCCTTATCCCATGTCGGCTGGCAGCTTCCGCTCGGCGTAATCCAAACCCCTAGGAGCCTTTCCGCTTCATCTTTCTCCGCCCAGCGAAAACCATCCGAGCGCCAAGACTTTTTCCCCAGGTTAGCCCCTAAGGGCATCACCACTGACTTGTCCACGTTCATCTCCAGGCCGGAAATATTCTTAAACTTCTCCAACTCCTCTTCCGCCCTGCCAATTTGTTGCTTCCCTTGCAGAAGGAGAGTTGTATCGTCAGCATAACCGACATATGACAGCTTCTGCCCGACGCAGCTGGTGAGGGAGATACCCAGCTTCCGCTTCATGACCATCTGCGCCAGTGGTTCCACTGCACAGAGGAAGAGGTAAGATGCCAAGGGGCAGCCTTGCCTGACCCCCGAGACTACTTCCACCGCGTCACCCAACCAGCCGTTGATCAACAAGTTCGTTCTCGTGTTCATGTGCAGGCCTCTCACCCATCCAACATAGCGGGCCGGGAACCCCATTTTCTCCATCACCTCAAGGATGAAGTTCCGAGACACCAAGTCGAACGCTTTTTTAAAATCGACGAGCAGCATGTACCAGTCTTCGTTCCCATTTCTGGCTGCATCGATGACATCAGCGACCAAACCCACCGCATCCGAGATGCGCCTTCCCGGGATAAAGCCAAACTGCTCCCGTGAAATCACCCTGTGCAGGACCTTTTTAATTCTGCTCGCCAGAACTCGCGCCAGTAGCTTATAGCTGATGTTCAGCAGCGTGATGGGACGGTAGTTATCTAACTGCTCCTTCGCTCCCTTTTTGTGCAGAAGGATCGTCACCGCATCCTTAACACTGGTAGGGAGTGAAGAGGACTGGCTGAACTCCCGGACCAGCTCCATGACATGCTTCCCAAGCTTGTCCCAGTGCAGCTCAAACACTTCCTTTGGTAAGCCATCCTTCCCCGGCGTTTTGTTGCTCGCCATCTCATGTAATGTTGTTCTGACCTCCTTCTCCGTCCACTCCTCTTGCAGCATCTCAGTGTCGGAATACATTAGCTTCTTTCCTGCAGCGGGTACCCAGTCAGAGATCGCAGTGCGCTTATCTTCACCGAAAAGGCTACGAAAGTAGCCAGACGCCGCTTTTAGTATCTGCTTCGGCCCCGATACCACCCCCCCGGGAACAGCAACCTCCGCAATTTGTGTTCTGGACTTCCGCGTCTTAATCCGCGCCGACAAGTGAGGTGATGGAACCTCTCCAGACAACGCCAGCTCCAACCCAGCCATGATACTCATCCTTTCTCTCCGCCCTGCGAAATACTCCTTGAGCTGCTGCTCACGCTTCCTCAGCTTTTCTCTCAGCATTAAGTCTTTCGGGTTGCGCATGAACTCTTGCCGTAGAGAAGCCACCGCCGAGGTAAGGTGAGCAATAGTCGCGCGTATTCTCTTGCTCTCCTCTTTAGCGTATGCCCTCAGACTGGAGTTCAGGCGAGAGATAAGGGACGTGAAGCTCCCTCCGTTCTGTTCAACTATCCGCACCACTTCCTCAATCTTCTTCTTAGCCCCGGGTCTGCCCAACAGTGAAGGATGAAGACGCCATACTCCCGGCCCCAGCTTCAGTTGTGACTTAAGCTTGAAAGTCACCCGGATGGCAAAGCCGTGGTCGGAGACTGGTTCATCTGGCGAAACGTGCTCAGCGATCACCAGGCGCGGAAGCAAGGATTGAGAGACCAGCGCCCGGTCGATCCGTGAGCTCTCTTGGTGCGCTTGCGAGAAAAAGGTGAATTCTAGGTCCCCAGGGTGGAGAAAGCGGAAAGCGTCTGTGACACCAACGGACTGACAGTGATGGTAAAGAAAGTCGTTCTCTCTGGTAGACCCAAGCTTAGAGGTCTTATCCAGCAGCGGGTTTTCAATGGTGTTGAGATCTCCTAGAATAAGCAGGTGAGTTCCTGGCGGGACGAGGCTAATGATTGGTCAAAGAACGATTCTAATGAAGGCTCTCTTTTCTGCCTTGTCTGCTGGTAGGTAAGTGGCTATCAGGGTAAGATGAAAGGTGGAGCAGTGGATTTCTGTCTTAATCAGTCTTCCCGAGGGGTGAGCTAAGGGATTGTGAAAGGAGAGATCTGTGCGCCGGCTGAGAACTGCAACTCCTCCAGCACGGGTCACAGACGAGGTGGCTGAGAAGAATGGAAGGTTCAGAGAGGACCAGTAGGGGTGATCTGCAGCTACTCTGGTATCTGAAAGAATCATGACATCTGCGCCTTTCTTGCTGTTGATCCAAGCAGTTGTTCGCTTCCGTTTTGTGAAATCTCCCAGGCCGTTGACATTCAGGCCCGCAAATGACAGACTGTTTCGTGTAATCATTTAATCACTCCTTCCACGCCTCTACGCATCCACAGGCAGGTAAGACAAGACACAGCAGTTAACATCGATCCAGCCGCAAACCCTCTGGTGAGCTGAACCGGGTCCATCAGATTCCGAACTCCTTGCGAACAGTGTGGAGATTCTCCCTCTCCCGTGTTAAGCGAGAGACAGCACCAAGCTCCCCTTGGCCATGCAGATGACGTGCGGAAGTGATGTGCTCCGCAGCAGTGATAAACAGCTTCCCTTGTGCTTTCCCGCAGCAGGTCTGAACACAGATCCACTCCTCTCTTGCGCTTCCAGTTGAGATAAGAACAATCGCGGGATCGAGCAGGATCGGGCGAACCAGACGCGTTGCAGAAAGCGAGGCAGCTGCGACAAACGGCCGGAGGGTTAGTTACTGGATGGCAGGTAAGGCAGGAAGAATCATGGCAGTGTGCTGCTACGCGGTTACCGTTAATCCCATGCACACGACCCAAGCTCAAGCTCCATTTCTCTATGTTATGCTGTCGGTCAGTGGTAAAGGCATCATGAAACTTATCATAATGCTGTCCCCCACAGAGCCGACAGGAGAGCAAAGGGTAATGAACCAGGAGCATCTTGCCCTTCTCGTGCGGATGGTTGCCCTGATGAATCCAGCGCCTTTTCTTATCTTCAGGGTGCGGTACAACCAGCCCTTTGATAACCCATGTGTTAGCTCCAGATACAGGGTGCACAACGCGGTGAAAGCAGTGGCTCTCCAGGAATGGCGTGACCTAGCGAACTTTCAGCTTATACTTCACCAGCATCTCTTCAACCGCCTCCGGAGTGATACTCGCAGGTATGTCCTTAAACACAGCTTCAATAACGCGCGGATTCGTGGCCTTCTCCTTCGCGAAAGCCGCATTCTCCGTGTGTAGCCAGTGCAGCGGGTACGTCGTTCCGTTAGGCTTCTGATATTCCAGAGCTGCCTGACGCACTTTGATGGCATCAGCTTCCTTCAGAAATGATAACTGGAGCCTGCTGTACTTGGTTTTCGCCACGTATGCAGGGTGAATATCCTGGAAGTCAACCAATGTGTTAGCTCCGTCAGAAAGTAAAGCAGACCAGACACGCTTCAGCAACATTCTCGCGGTGACGATAACCAGGGCTATCTCCGGCTGAAGAACCAGAGGAAGCAGCAGTATCGCAGTGTAACGGAGTGTCGCAGTGGAATCCTTGGAGACTTCAAACTCCAGCTCGGTGTCAGAGTCATCATCCGAGAACTCGTCATCAAGACCATTATCATTCGCCAAGGCAAGCGCAGCAAGCTTTTCGTCCAGAGATAGTCCCGAACTTCCCGCAACCGGAGTAACCGGCTCATTGTCATCCACCTTCTTCCCCTTGTCAGCAGGCATTGAAGCAGCGTCAGTGACAACAGCACTCTTCGGCAACAGCCGAGCGCGTTCTTTGGGAGGAGGACGCGGCGCCATAGGGCGATGATGATAATAAAGCAGCAACAGACGACTTGCAAAGGCCAGAAATGCCTGTAATGCTGTGTGTCTGAGCCCGACAGAATATATCCATAAAGTTTCATTGTCGAACCAGTATTCCCGATGCAGGTGCTGGGTTGTGGCTGATAAAACCTGAGGAGAGTCATCAGTAGCCCTTGGTAGTATCATGAAATAAAGAGGACCAATGACGATAACGCGCGAAGCTCTTGTGAGATGCGCAATGAGCTAACTCCAGGGGAACAGATAATGAAGCCTTGGAAGTAGCCAGCAGGTAGATACGTTACAGCTGATCCCGAGAAGCTTTTGATACGATGTTCGTGTGATGAACATAAAAAAATGTACCAATCGATTCGTCGCGATAAGAGGAGTATTAAGCTGTGAATCTTAAAGCCAGCTGGTAACTCTGCTTCACGGAATGCTGGATTGAATACCCTGAAGAAATCCATGGCGGCTTGCCTCGCGTCTGCTACACTGACAATGAGATTCAAAGGCTACAGTGTGTACTGGCCTGCCAACACATTTCGGAACCGCGCGCAACTCATTTGCCTGGCAAAAGTTGCTTTGCCGAAGTTACAAAATAATGAGTTACTTTTGGGAGGGCTTGCATTTTCGGATTTGTGTGACGGGTCACCCTAGTTTGGAAAGCCAGGAATGCAGCCCACTCGTAGAAGTACTAGTACCGGCTTGGCGCTTTTCGTGCGTCAGAGTCGGTGGGGCAGCGAACCACTTAGATAGACCGAAAGTCAGTTGCGGGTGGGGCCAAGGGTTGAGGAGGAGGCGAGGGCCAAATTAATTAGGGATTTTTTGAGATGATTCGGGGGCCGGCTGCCGCGGGCTCAACGGCGACGACACGTGATCGTGAGCGCGTGCAGCGCGCGTGGGCATTGGCGTGGTGGCTCGCCGTCCTTGTCGCGCCCGTCGCGATGGTGAAGGCCGTGCCTCTCGAAGCCACTCAAGGCAAGTGTCTCTCGAAGGCGACTGGCTCATTTTAATCAATTATGGAATTTCGCGTGGAAATCGCTCCGAGACCCCGCGGCGCGGCAAGCGGAAGAGCCGCACGCATCAACATCATGCCTGGTTGCCACCGAAATGGCGTACTGCACCGCTGTCACCCCACACGCGCCACCCGTGCGGCGGTATGACCGCCTGGCAGGCCAAGGGACAGAGAGCGAAGGGCGAAGGACACAGCAAGGGCGAAGGACCCAGACCGAAGGCGAAGGACAGAGAGGAAGGACGAAAGACAGAGAGGAAGGGCGAAGGACAGAGAGGAATGGCGAATTATAGAGAGGAAGAAAGAAGGACAGAGAGGAAGAAAGAAGGACAGAGAGGAAGGGCGAAGGACAGAGAGCAAGGGCGAAGGACAGAGAGCAAGGGCGAATGACAGAGAGCAAGGGCAAAGGACAGAGAGCAAGGGCGACTGACAGAGAGCAAGGGCAAAGGGCGGAGAGGGAGGTCGAAGGACAGAGAGGAAGGGCGAAAGGACAGAGAGCAAGGGCGACAGAGAGCAAGGGCAAAGGACAGAGAGAAAAGGGCGTCGTACACAGAATAAGGGCGAGCAAAGGGCGAAGGACAGAGAGCAAGGGCAAAGGAAAGAGAGCAAGGGCGAAGGACAGAGAGCAAGGCCAAAGGACAGAGAGCAATGGGGTTTGTTGTGGAGAGAGGCGAGATGGAGCGACATGGGCAAGGGCGACACAGGATGGCAATCACTGAGCGTGAGTCGTCTTCAGACCGATGCCAGTCATGGGGTTTGTTGTGGAGAGTTTCCAAACCCTCCAAGGGAGGGCCTCCCATCCCACCTCACCCCCCACTTCACCCCGACCCCCATCCACTGCCACTCGTTGCAGTGCAATTCCTGCAGGAGTGCCAGGCAGCATGGGGGCGGAGCATCCCCGGGTGGAGTGGCGCGAGTCCGGACTGCAGCAGTGCCACGGGCCTCACGTGCGATCCCTCCGGCATGATCGTGATCATGTAAGGCGATGAGAGAGGCAATGTGAGGGAGGCTATGGGAGTGAGAGGATGGGAGCTTAGTTGGCAGTTATACTTTTTTTTAGGTCACGCAAAGGTGTAAGTTCACCTTTACCTTTCACTACTCGTAATTCAAATTGAAGTTGCTCGGGCACGGCAAAAGAAAAAAATAAAGGCTACCCCAAATATGCAGCCCCATCCGATCCGACCATCACGAGGCAGTAACATGGCAGTGTATGCGTGACGAAGCATCTGTAAGGTGATGTAAGTTGTTAAAATGCTTAGCATAGGAGAATCAAATGTCACGTACACGTAAACCCCTGTAAGCGTGAAGTGCCATGCCAAGCCAACTAAAGATGGGAGTGAGAGTATGGGAGTGAGAGGATGGTAGTGAGAGGTTGGAAGTGAGAGTATGGGAGTCAGAGGTTGAGTCTGAGAGGCCATGATGTACTTATTGCCATTTTTGAGAACCCATGCTCAGTGCTCACCATTATTGACACGCCATCATTGCCACACCATCGTTCACACACCATCATCACACCACCATTCACTCACCATCATTGTGAC